CACCACCTCTGTCAGAGTGCAGACGCAGGAGAGGAAAGTCCGACTGGAACCGCTCGCGGAGCTAGAGACGAACAGCGCGGATCCAAGGGATCAAAACAACAGGAACGCTTTCCTTGCGCTGCAAGGGGAAGACCGTGGTGTAACGCGTGTAGTCGTCGACTACCAGCAGGAAGTACCGCTCGCGGCCGTGCCCCTGGACGCGGGCTGGGCCCCACATGTCCAGGTGGAGAGTCTGCAGTGGAGCCTCTGTCGGAGGGAACGAGGAGGAGTGAGGAGCGGCGCGCTGCCGCCCCTCGACGTAAGGAATGCAGGGCGGCGCAGGCGAGGGAGGGAGGGAGGGCAGAGACCTGGGAAGACCAGAGACTAGGGAGCGAGAGTGCATGCCACGAAGGCGAGGCAGGGAGGGGTGACCAAGGCGGTGGTGCCAAAGGAGAGTCTGGTGCGACAGGCGGCGACACTCACACTGGGTAGCTACCTGAGCAGACGCATGCAGTTGAGGAGACAAAGGGGCGTAGCGCGACACAGTGGTGAGGGTGTACAGACTGGACCCAGGCGCACGTGTGAACGTGGCCAGGTGGCGGCCGGTCCGAGAGCACGTGCAGATCGTCACATGCTGTCCTCCAGGAGTAAAGGTGTCAACCCAATGATCCTGAAGGACGGCGGTGCTCACCAGGTTCGTAGAGAACGAGGGGATGTGGAGACCTGACAGCTCACCAGACGGGACCGCCGGGCACGGAAGCACAGTGGTGGACCGTGCAAGCACTGGGCCCCCAGAGGGGTCAGCCAGTGAGACAGGGACAAGTGCAGGGAGGGGAGTGACTGTGGTACTGTCGCGAAAGAAACAGCGAGAAGCACCAGAGTCAAGTGTAAAAGTGTGCAAGGCCTGAGCCGACGCAGTACCAGGGAGAGCAGACTCACTAGCACCTAGGGCTGCAGTCTCTATACCTGGGTCAGGCGGCATACACAAGTAGCAGTCACCCTCAGCACTAACAGTCAATGCATACATGGCAGCAAGAATTGCATCATAGTCAAGATCAAAGATAGGAACATCACGCCAGAGCGCCCAGGGGGGAAACTCAGTAGCCTCTGGAAACTTGGCGCGCCAGGCGTCGCTAAGCCGAGAGAAGCAGCGGTACTCAGTGTGAAAACCGTTGCATGGGCGACCAGCGCGGGGACCTGTGCGAATGATATAGGGGCAGCGAAAAGGACCCCTAGACGCCCCACGCTGAGCGTACCAGTCACGAAGCTGCTGAGTCATGGGGGTCTCACGCTGACGCTGCTGCTGCTGCTGCTGCTGCTGCTGTTGCTAATGCTGCTGCTGCCCCTGGCCACCACTGGAGCTCCCCTTCTGGCCGGTTCCACTCCAGCCCCCACCACCGCTGCCACCACCGCTCCCTCCTCCCCCACTACCGCCGCTGCCACCTCCACTACTCCCGATACCACCGCCGCCCCCACCACCACCTCCACCCCCACGACCACCCCCACCACCTCCACCTCCCCCGCCGCCTCCACCACCGCCCCCTCCACCGCCACCTCCACCTCCCCTGCCACCCCTGCTGCCCCTGGCGCTGCGGCGCTTTCCACTAGGAGCGGAAGCAGCCCCGACCTCCTCAGCACCAAGGAAGTCGACAGCAGCAGCAGAAGCGTAGGAGGGGGCAAGAGGGGAGGGGGAGCACCCCTCAAAGAGGGGAGTGCGAGGAGTGCCACGAGCAGCACCTACAGCGAGAATGTTCTTTTCGGCTGCTAGGAGGTGCTTCTCGAAGTCGGCGACAGTGAGAGTGGTAGGGTCTAGGGCGAGAAAGTGGTCCCTGACTAAGCGAAGAGTGTCAGGGAGGCGGGTGACGAGGAAGTAGAGAGTAAAGTACATCATCAGTGGGGGATTCTCGGCGAGGAACTCGTCTGGAAGGGCGGCACGAAAGCGAGCGTCACTAGCGCGAAGGTGAGAGATGAGGTGGTAAACGAGGACAGGTCGGGGAACAGGTAGGGTAGGAGAAGACGACCTAGGGCTGCAGTGGCTGGGGAAGAGTAGCGGGCAACTACAGCAGTGTACAGCGCCTTGGCTGTCTTGTGCTGGCTAAAGTGCGCGCGCTCAGTGATCGGCAAGTGGTTGCGAATGGCGAGGCGCGCAGCAGCATCACGGGTCTGCCACTGTGAGCGAGCGAGAGCGTCAGCAGTGTCATCAGGAGCAACGGAGGAACCAGACGCGTGATCGTACAGGGACACGCCGTCTTTGGCGTCACTCATAAGAAATAGTTGCAGGTCGTCTAGCCAAGTAGCAAATTCGATCGGGCGACCGTCAGGATCGAAAGCGAGGACATTGAGAGTCGCCATGATTTCAGCGCAGGCAAGCATAGCGCGCTCGCGGCAAAGCAGAGAGCAGGCCGGAAGAAGCTGCGCGCAGGTCTGCAGTGGTGGCGATCGAGCTGCTGGGGCGGCGCGCAAGTGGCTAGGGCGGCGCGCAGGGCAGCCGCGAGGCGCGCGGAGGCTGCTGAAGCGGCGCGCAGGCGCAGGCGGCGCGCAGCGCGCGGGGCAGCAGCGGGCAGCGCGGACGCTGCAGGGGCGGCACGTGGGCGGCGGAGGCTGCGCGCGGGGCAGCCGCGGGCTGCGCGAGCAGCGGAGGCGGCACGTGGGGCAGCAGAGGGCCGCGCGAGGGCGGCTGAGGCGGTGCGTGGGGCAGCCGCGGGCTGCGCGAGCGGCAGAGGCGGCGAGCGGGCCAGCAGCGGGCCGCGCGAGGGCGGCTGAGGCGGCACGCGGGGCAGCCACGGGCTGCGCGAGCGGCGGAGGCGACGCGCGGGGCAGCAGCGGGCTGCGCGAAGGCTGCCAGGGCGGCGCGCGGGGCAGCAGCGGGTGGCGCGCACGGAAATAGGGCAGCGCGCGGGGCAGCAGCGGGCAGCGCGCGAGGCAGCAGGACGGCGCGCGCAGCGCAGCACGTCAAAGGGCAAGCAAAGCAAGGTGCGCGCAAGCGGCGCAGCGCAGGTCGACACGTGGGGTAGCACGGTAACGAGCGATCGGTGGGCCCGGAAAAAAAAGACGCGGTCCTACGGACCTACTGCTCTGAAACCATGTCAGAAATATTAGCAGGAATGGATGAACTAGGTGAAAGTTGGGTACAAGTATGAAACCCTAAAGGGGCTATACCCCATATTGGCTACCCCACTACAGCCTACATATATATAACACATATATAATTTGACACTGAGTAGTACCCAAGTGAAGGTGACAGCTTCTCAGGGCTGTAGAGCGTTTTGCTACATTCAAAACGAAACCTGCATTCACATATAGCATTTTTCTGAATTGACTCAAATACTCCTTCCATTCCCCCAAACCAACTTTACAAGCTCGCTCCACAGCCCTCCCTCTCAAATGCTTCACCCCTTTATACCCACTGCCATTCCAGCAGCACCCGTCTCTACCTCATGGGTTTCATGGGTCTCATGAGTTTCATGTGTCTCATGAGTTTCATGTGTCTCATGAGTTTCATCTGTCTCATGAGTTTCATCTGTCTCATGAGTTTCATGTATCTCATGATTTTCATTTGTCTCATGAGTTTCATCTGTCTCTTGAGTTTCATCTGTCTCATGAGTTTCATGTATCTCATGAGTTTCATTTGTCTCATGAGTTTAATCTGTCTCATGAGTTTCATCTGTCTCATGAGTTTAATCTGTCTCATGAGTTTCATCTGTCTCGTGAGTTTAATCTGTCTCATGAGTTTCATCTGTCCCATGAGTTTAATCTGTCTCACGGATTTCTTGATTTCCATGGGCCGCATGTGTCGCGTGGGTCGTATGGGTCGTGTGGGTTACATGGGTCGCACGGGTCGCATGGGTCGCATGATGCCAAAGCCAATCTCCAGAGGGTGGGAAATGGGAGAAGATGAAGCAGTGTCTGGGTGAGCTAGGAGGGTGGGTGAGCTAGGGAAATACCGCAGGAGGTGGCACCATCAGCTCCAAGTGACAAAGGAAGAAGGGTGGAAAATGATTTTCCCACCCACTCCTCTCATACCCCTCACTCCTTTGATACACCCCAATCCACACTTGACTTCCAATCCTCTCATACCTCCTCTCATACCTCCTCTCATACCCCCAAATCCTCCCATACCCCACCCCTTTCATACTCCTCAATCCCATGCTACCCCACCCATCTCATACCCACCCACTCCTCCCATACCCCTCACTCCCTTCATACCGCCGATTCCTCACATTCCCCACACTCCTCTCATACCCATTACTCCTGTCGTATCACCCACTTTTCTCATACCCCCCACTCCTCACATACCCCCCACATCGCACATACCTCTCATTCCTCTCATACCCCACACTCCCCTCGAACGCCCCACCGCTCTCATAATCCCCACTCCCCTTACACGCCCCACTCCCCTTAGGGCGTGTAACATTGCGATGACCGAAGCCAAAATCCGACCATTTGGTTGGGGCGTGCGAATGCGAAGGGAGTAACACGATGGCGAGGGATGCGAGATTTTCCCGCCAAATGACCACGATAACGACCGATTCAGCAAACGCCCAAACCAAGCGACCGTCACGAAAACATTCCCACCGTTTGGGGAAACCGCATAATAAAATTTGGGGAAACACCCACAGATGGCATTACGTGGTAGTCCCCGAATTTGTCTCGCGGAGGCCTATGAGGTTGCTGAACACTACCATCTTCTCGTGCCCCAAATAATCCACACCCACATCGAATGCTGAATTTTGGATTAGACATCTAAATTCTTATAACGGGGGTAGTTAAGGGTGGGTGCCCCTAAATCGACCACGCCACAACCATGGTCATTGTATCTACAGTGGACGCCCCAGGTGTACGTTACCACTTCCCTCGCATATCGGCCAACATGACCAAATGGTCGGCCAACATGATTTTGGCTTCGGTCATCGCAATGTTACACGCCCTTATGTCAAACTCATACACTATAGTCTGTGTAGGCTGTAGTGGGGTAGCTTATATGGGGTACAACATTCTAGGGTTTGGTACTTGTACTCCTCATGCTGCTCAATGCAATCATTCTCGTTCTAGTTTTCACATGGTATCGAGCAGGTTCCCTCGTGGGAACTGTTCCTAGGGCCCACCGACTTTTTTTTCCTGCCCGGAGCGCACTCCGCCCCTGCCCGAGTCGCGCTCCCCTCTCACTGCCCTTAGCGGCCCCGTCGCGCCGTCCTTGCGGCCCCGTCGCGTCGCCCTCGCGGCCACGGCGCCGCCTCTACTGGCCCCGTCGCCCTACCCTCGCGACCCCGCGGCCCCACCCTCGTGACCCCGGCGTCGCCCCTCGCGGCTTCGTCGCAGACGCCCGCGACCCCACCGCCGCCCGTAGCGGCCCCATCGCCCTTCGCGCCGCCCGCGACCTCGTCGCCGCGGCCGCCCGCGACCCTGCCGTCGCAGCCGCCCGCGACCCCGTCGCCGCAGCCGCCCGCGACCCTGCTGTCGCAGCCGCCCGCGACCTAGTCGCCGCAGCCGCCTGCGATCCCGTCGCCGCAGCCGCCCGCGACCCCGTCGCAGCCGCCCGCGACCCCTGTCGTCACACCCGTGCGACCCCACCGCCGCCCTTCGCGGCCCCGTCGCCACACCTTCGCGGCCCCGCCGAGCAGCCGAGCCGCCGAGACGCCGGCGCCGCCGAGCCGCCGCTGCCGCTGAGCTGCAGGCGCCGCCAAGCGGCTGTTGCCGCCGAGCTGACGAGCCGTCGAGCCGCCACTGCCGCCGTGCTGCCGAGCCGCCGAGACGCCGCTGCCGCCGAGCTGTCGAGCCGCTGAGCCGCCGAGCCGCCGAACCGCCGAGCCGCCGTTACTGCCGTCGCGGCCCTGTTCCTGCCGGCGAGCCTCGGTCCTTCTCGCCTGCCCGGTAAGAGCAGCGCCTCCACCACTGCTCTGCCCTTGCCTGCTGCTCTCACTGCTAGTCTGCTACTGTCATGGCTGCCCCCAGTGTCCTCACTTTTGACGCTGAGGGTCGGGCCATTGACTTTGACGTCTGGGTAGATGACCTGCAGCTTTTCCTGCTGAGCGATAGAGCAGACGGTCTCTCCCTCTTTGACCTCACCTCTGGTGCCTCTCCTGCCCCTGCTGCTGATGCTGACGCCACTGTTCGCTCACAGTGGGCCACGCGCGATGCTGCTGCCCGCCTTGCTGTGCGCCGCCACTTGCCGACCGCTGAGCGTGCGCACTTTAGTCAGTACAAGAGTGCTAAGACCTTGTACGACGCTGTAGTTGCTCGCTACTCTTCCCCTGCCACTGCTGCGCTTAGCCGCCTCATCCTACCGTACCTCTTCCCTGACCTCGCCGCTTTTCCCACTGTCGCTGACCTCATTACGCACCTTCGCACTAGTGACACTCGCTATCGCGCGGCGCTTCGTGCTGAGTTCTGCGCCAAGAACCCCCCCCCCATGTACATCACCCTCTACTACATAGTCACCCGGCTCCCTGACACCCTTCGCCCGGTCAGGGACCACTTCCTCTCTGTTTGCCCCACCACCCTCACCGTTGACCTCCTCGAGGAGCGCCTTCTAGCGGCAGAGAAGAGCATAGTCGCTGTAGGTGCCTCTCGTGGTGACCCTCGTACCCCTGTCTTTGAGGGGTGCTCCCCCTCTCCCCTCTTGCCCTCTGTTGCCTCTGCTGCTGCGGCCGACCTCGTTGGTCTTGAGTCGGTCGCTGCGGCGTCTGCCCCTAGCGGGAGACGCCGCCCTGGCAAGGGCAAGGGGGGCAAGGGTGCTGGAGGAGCTGGAGGGGGCGGTGGAGGCGGAGGTGGAGGTGGTGGAGGGGGTGGGGGTGGCGGTGGGGGTGGTGGCGGGGGTGGGGGCGTCGGTGGCGGGACTGGAGGTGGAGGTGGAGGCGGCGGTGGCGGTGGGAGCGGAGGTGGCGGAGGTGGCGGTACTGGAGGAGGTAGCGGCGGAGGCGGTGGAGCTGGTCGGGGTGGCGCTGCGCAGAGGGGTGGCTCCGGTGGTGGTGCGCGCCAGCAGCAGCAGCAGCAGCGTACCCGTGAGACCCCTTCCCCCCAGCAGCTTCGTGAGTGGTACACTGCTCGTCAGCGGGGCGGGGGTGCTGGCCCCTGTACCTACGTTCTCCGTACCGGCGACCGGGCGGGTGAGCAGTGTGGGGGCGCGCACTCCACCCAGCGCTGCTTCGGCCGTCTGACGGACGCGTGGCGCCACCAGTTCCCCGACGCTACTGAGATCCCTCGCTGGGGCGAGCTGTCTAGGGCGGGTGTTGCGATCTATGATCTTGATTATGATGCTATTCTTGCTGCCATGTATGCTGTGACTATTAGTGATGAGGGTGACTGTTACCGGTGTTTTCCGCCTGACCCAGGCATAGAGGCTGCTGCGCTAGGTACTTGTGAGGCTGCTGCTCTAGGTGCCAGTGCGTCTGCCGCCCCAGGTGCCGGTGAGTTTGCGCTCTCAGGTGCTGCGTCGTCACCGGACACCCACACCTTCACCCTTGACTCGGGTGCTTCCCGCTCCTTCTTTCGAGACTGCACCACTCTCACGCCGCTCAGTCGGCCTGTTGCAGTCTCCCTGGCAGACCCCTCTGGGGGTCCTGTCCTTGCCCACTACTCCACTGTCCTACCGTGTCCGGCGGTCCCGTCTGGCTCCCTGTCGGGTCTTTACCTCCCCTCGTTCTCTACGAACTTGGTGGCGGGTGCTGACCTCCAGGATTAAGGAGTTGACCAGTTCACCCCTGCGCGTCAGCGGGTGACCCACTGCACGTGTGCGGACACGGGCCGACACTTGGCCACGTTTGCCCGTCGGCCGGGGTCGAGCCTGTACACACTGACTACTGAGTCTCCTCCAGTCACTGAGTCTGCTCAGGTAGCAGCGTCGGGTCAGGTGTTTGCTGCGGCGTCCAGGTCTGGTCCTGAGTCTGCCCCCTGCTCGTGTCGTCTCCTGTCCCACCGGACTCTCCTCTGGCACCACCGCCTTGGTCACCCCTCCCTGCCTCGTCTTCGAGGCATGGCTTCCCGTCTTCTTGTCTCTGGCCTCCCCCGGTCCCTCCCTCCTCTTCCTCCGGGGCCTGCCCCCACCTGCGTTCCCTGCGTCGAGGGGCGGCAGCGCGCTGCCCCTCACTCCTCCGAGTTTCCTCCGACAGAGGCTCCGCTGCAGACGCTTCACATGGACGTGTGGGGCCCAGCCCGCGTCCGTGGGCAGGGTCACGAGCGTTACTTCCTGTTGGTGGTTGACGACTACTCGCGTTACACCGCAGTCTTCCCCTTGCGCAGCAAGGGTGACGTCACTGAGGTGTTGATCGCCTGGATCCGCGCAGCTCGTCTCCAGCTCCAGGAGAGTTTCGGCTCGGACTTTCCTGTTCGGCGTCTGCACTCCGACAGAGGCGGAGAGTTCTCCTCTGACCTTCTGCGGGCCTTCTGTCGTGCACGAGGCATCCGCCAGACCTTCACGCTTCCGGACTCTCCGCAGCAGAATGGGATTGCTGAGCGCCGCATCGGCATGATCATGGACGTCGCTCGTACGTCCATGATCCATGCGGCTGCTCCCCATTTTCTGTGGCCGTTTGCGGTTCGGTACGCGGCGCATCAGATCAACCTTCACCCCCGGGTCTCCATGCCGGAGACCTCCCCTGCTTTGCTGTGGACGGGGAAGGCTGGCGATGCGTCTGCGTTCCGTGTCTGGGGATCTAGGGCGTTTGTCCGCGACTTGTCTGCGGACAAGCTGTCCTCTCGTGCTGTTCCCTGCGTCTTCCTTGGCTTTCCCCCTGACGCGCCAGGCTGGCAGTTCTACCACCCCACCTCGCGCCGTGTCTTCGCGTCCCAGGACGTCACCTTTGACGAGTCGGTTCCCTACTACCGTCTCTTCCCCTACCGCACTGCGTCCCTCCCTCCCCCGCCGCTCTTCCTTACGCCAGGTCCCCCTCCGGTAGACCCCCTCCCCCCTCAGGGTCCTGCTCCCTCAGGTGTGTCCCAGGTAGATGCAGTTGAGCCTATCGAGGTAGCTGTTGACTCTGGTGCTGCTGGTGGTGCTGAGCCTGGGGGTGCTGGGTCTGGGGGTGCTGCGACTGGGGGTGCTGAGCTTGGGGGTACTGAGCCTGGGGGTGTTGAGCCTGGGGGTGCTGAGCCTGGGGGTGCTGAGCCTGGGGGTGCTGAGCCTGGGGGTGCTGAGCCTGGGGGTGCTGTGCCTGGGGGTGCTGAGCCTGGGGGTGCTGTGTCTCGGAGTGCGGAGCCTGAGGGTGCTGGACCTGCTCGTGTGGCGTCTGGTGGTGCTGAGCCTGGCAGTTCTTCGGGTGCTTCGTCCCGGCGGGAGCTGCTCTCTCCACAGGAGCTGCGTGAGTGGTTCGCCCGGCGCTGGCGGCGTGCTGCTGGAGCTGGTGGTGCTGCGGACGCTGGAGGTTCTACTGCTGCTGGAGCTGCTGGGCCTACGGGTGCTCCTCCTACTGGAGCTGGTGGTGCTACTGGTGCTGCTGGCGTTGGTGCTGCTGGTGCTCCTGGAGCTGGAGCTGCTGCGTCTTCGGGTGGTCCGACTGGAGCTGGAGCTACTGGGGGTGTTGGCGCTGGAGGTGCTGCTGGCGCTGGTGCTGCTGAGGGTGCTGGAGTTGGTGCTCCTGGAGCTGGGGGCACTCCTGGTACTGGTGCTCCCGTTGGGGGTGCTGGTGCTGTTCCTGCTGGCGCTGGTGGAGCTGCGCGGCCACGGCCGTACTTCGTTCCGCTCCTTGAGCAGGTTCTTGGTCTTCCGTCCTCTCTTGGTCCTGCTCCTCCCTTAGCGTGTCCGCCTCCTGTCCAGTCCGAGTCGCAGTTACCGCCGGCCTCCCCGCTTCCTTCTCCTTCTCCCTACACTGGTCCTACTGGAGGTCTTGCTGAGCGTCGTGAGCCTGCGTCTCGCCCTGCGTCGCCTGTCCGCGCTGCTCGCACTAGTGGTCGTGGTTCACGTCAGCGTCCTCCCCCTGTCCCCGGCACGCACCGGATGTCTCTGCGTCCTTCCACTGCTCCTCTGCGTGCCCCTTTGCCTTCTCCTCCCGCGTCCTCTCTTCCTGACCTTCCTGACCCTGAGTCGGACTCCCTTCGTGCTGCGCGTCCTACTGTCACGCGTCTCCTTGCTACTGTCGTCACTGACCCTTCCTTTGAGTCTACTGCTGCGTCTGCTCTGGTTGCTGAGCTTGTCGACTTCGCTGCTCGCTGTCGCCTAGACTACGCTGCCAGTCTCGAAGCGACACAGCAACCGTCTGATCAAGACCGATGCAGGCAGAAACATTTGAAGTGAAAAGAGCGGGAACAGGTTTGAAACTGATTCCCGCGCCGCACGGTTTGAATTTCGCTGTAATAAGGGAATGTACCCCTTAGAGTACATGGCTAGTCTAGGTCGTTTCGCATTCCTTTGTATTTCCTATATAAACTCTATGTATGCATGCTATCATCAATCTCAGTCATTTACATTCACTCTGACCTGAGTTCACTACTTCCGCTGCGACACTACCTGCGATCAACCCTGAACGATCCTTTCGCTAAGTCCCACTTCAGATTGTAACACAATCCAAACGAGCGAAGTCTTTACGATTCTAATTCTTACTTATTTTTTCTTCCCGTTATTAACCTCGCTGTGGCAGAAAACGAGTGTCAACACAACCTGCGATACAACACGATAGTGAATTATGGTGATTCACTAGATTTTACAGCGGTGATGTTATTTCCTAGAAATATATCAATCTGTCTTTCCGCCATTGCGATCTCTTTAAGTCGTCTGTCCTTGTAGATTGTTGTTTCATTTTCCTGACTTTGCAATATATCCTATCTTTCCGCCATTGCGATCTATGACTTCACCTTCCTTTGCAGATTGTTGGTTCATTTTCTTTACTTCGCAATATATTCTATCTTTCCGCCATTGCGATCTATGAAGTCACCCTCCCTTGCAGATTGTTGGTTCATTTCCTTTACTTTGCAATCTATAATTCTCGCATCACGTTTCTTTGCTTAGACGCAGGACAGAGAGTGAAGGTAATGGAGATTTCCGCCATTTTATTACTGTCAGCTTGTCTCATGTTAGCTTTTTTATAGTCTCTACATGCAGGTGCAGATATGTTGTGAAGATTAATTTGGAAAAACTATGCTGCGTCGCCACCACTTCCGCGTCGCCTTTACTTCTCGCCCCTTATAACAACCTGACATGGAAACAAGCCCGTGAAGATTATTTTTATTATGCCATGCCTGATGTTATTTTGGGGCACAGAGCAGTGAAGGTGATGTTTCCAAATTACACGGTGATAAATCATAATTGTTAAATGATTGTTCCGGTTTTCATATTCTTAGGCTGGCGTTATCACATGTGTAATGTCTTTAACCCAATAATGCGTGTTGGTTGTGTGATGTCAGGTTATTTTAGCTGTGCAGTGATGTACATATTCTGGGGCAACTGTACAAGGCCCTATTTATTACATAGTCATGCTGATGTTATTTGACGTTCTGTTGTTATATAGTGAAAAATATATTATATATTTTCAACAAAAGAAGCTTATTACAAAAAAAGAACACAAGGTAAAGGGGATATAATCAGGCCATGCGCTGGCCACGTGTGACCCGAAACTGACCCAAATCTGACCTTTCCCGCCAAATCTTAACCCGTACCTGACCCGTAACTGACTTTTTCCACCAAATTTCTGACCCGTACCTGACCCGTAAATGACCCGTACCTGACCCGAGAGTTACTTGTCGGTTACACTTTCTGACCTCAAACTAGCCTAAAGTGTCATTTCCAGAAGTATCTTTTGGGTCAGATTCTGAGGTGACCTGAATGTTGCCCCGGAGTAACCTGGGGGTCCATTTCGGGTTAGTACATTTTAGAGATGATGCTTCCCCTCACGATATTGCTATTTGCGTTTTTTTTTTCCGCGTGGCAATCCGCAAGTGGCAGCGCGATAGCAGCCAGGTGAGGGAGACGGAGTGATGGCAGCGCGATCGTCACTTGACGTGTATCGTGCACTTTTCGCGTGTATGTGCGGTGCAGTGCAGGTGGATGTGCTAGCGCGGATACAGGTGTGTTTGTGTGCATTTCCGGTAAGCCTGTGGTTGTTATGTTTCTTTTCCCACGTGTCACGATCTGTTGATGCTGTCTTGATTGCAGGTTCCATAACGAACGACATATATTTTATGGAAGTACCTAACCGTTGTGCCCATCTTTCTTTTTGCGCTGCTCGATTCACTTGCTGTGTCCTATGCTTTCCACGACTCACTATCTGCTGTTATTGTTTCCGTGCTTTTTTCCAGGTGCTAACAAGTTCCATGGTGGTTTCGTCGTAAACATTTGACCTTATGGTCAATTAGTGTATTGGCAAAATCCGGTGTCTTGGCGTTTGGATCGTGATATCCATATGCCAGTTGACAGTTGCTAGTTGACAGTTGACAGTTGACGGTGACAGTTGACAGTGGTCGTACGGTTGACAGTTGTGTCTATGTACGCATGCCTGACTAATGAAACAATTTCAAAGCGCCAGATGCACATTCAGTTTAATTTTTGGACGTGATGCAAAGCGATGCTGTGTTTCGTGTGCGACACGGGGTCCAATTTCAGAATCGCCAGCCAATCAAAATGCATTTAGGCACACCCATAACTGACATGTTATTGGTCCTTGTCGACCAATCATCGAAAAAGACACGTGGAAAAATATCGTGTTACACGTGGACGCGATTCGGTACCAACGAAGTGACTGTCCAGTCACTTTTGTGTGACTCCGGCTGTCACGTCATTGTGACTTTTGCGTGACAAAATGGGGACTTCGCAGTGGCATTTTCGTGACAGCTAGGTTACGTTGGTTTGTGTACTTTCAACCCTCACCTTTTTCTCCCTAAAACCGTATACCTAAATGTGACGGAAAAGTCACAAATCCGTCACTTTTGGCCCTTGTCTTTCCCGCGATGGAGAATTGTAGAGGCATGAGTGAGCGTCAATGGATTGGCACTTTGTGAAGAAACAGCGAGAAACGGGTGCAATCAGTCGTGAAGCGTTGGCGGAGTTGTAGAGGCATGAGTGAGCGTCAACGGATTGCTTTGCGAGGAAACGGCGAGCATCCCGAAAAACTCCGCTGGAGCTACATTGTAGTCACCTCGTAGCTGCATGCGATGTTCGATGTACCTACAGTGAACTCGGCTACATTGTACTTATAGGTTCTGCTACAAACATTTTACTTCGAATCCCCATACGGGGTGGAAAAAGGGTAACCACATAGTACATACTCCGATAAATGTATAGTAACTACATAGTAGATATTCTAAATTTACTCTGAACCTACTCCCTGAGCAAGCATCGAGTAGGTACATAGTATGTAGTGCATAGTGCATATACAGCTAATTTCGGCATGATTCATTGCATTTGATTTACGATTCCAGATAAACGCTTATTTGTTAAAGCACAGTGAAATTGAATATTTTTATAGAACGTTACAAATAGACATCCCACCAATACAAATATACGTGGTACTGCCCTACTAAGTCGCCTTGCGCGTGCAATCGATAAACACCTCCCTGCAAAAGAAGAGTCAATAATCAACAAGTAGAGAGCGCCAAATACGTACCAGTGTTCAGCCAACACGTGCCAGAAAATACAGAACGAAATTGATGACAACAAAACATAATAGAACATTCTGCACAGGGAAACTTGTAGCCTGCAAAATGACGACACGTTCATACACCGTTAAGAGTTAAACAAACAGACAACAAAAGTTCATGGTTAGCAGAACAGACAACAGAAACTAAGCATAGTGCTTACAGTAGTAACAACGCTGCCGCAACCACACGCCATCGCCCAAATCGCCACGCCCATATCGCCACGCCCATATCGCCACGCCCACATCGCCACGCCCACATCGCCACGCCCACATCGCCACGCCCACATCGCCACGCCCATATCGCCACGCCCATGTCGCCACGCCCATGTCGCCACGCCCATGTCGCCACGCCCATGACGCCACGCCCCATCACCAAAATGATTTTGACCCTAAGCCAACCTTGACCCCAGGCTGACCCGACCCCGACCAATAACGACCCTGCACCACCTCTCTACGCAACCTGCCACACAAGCCAGCCTCATCGCATCAGGACGCGTCCCCTCTCGCTCAAACGTGTCGAAATTGAACTTCGACCGCAACAAACTCCTGCGTATTGCATTGAAAACTTCTGGACGTTTTGGTAACCACGTTCAAAATTGATCCTGCGTACCCTCGATTGCAGAATCGCTGTTGAGGGGACACGTCCTAAATCAACCATGCTCAACCCAACCTTGTAGACATTTCACCACCTCCTCCACTCACTCTAGCCTTTTTGTTTCAGATCTAGATGTTCTATGTTTTAATCTTTTTGTCTTGTTATTCCTAGCCCCGTCCCTAAGTCCTTAACTTGCCGTTCCCGTGTTCGTATTAGTTCGATCCCCAACTATTAAACTCAGCCATGATTGTAGCTGTTTCTGCATACCCATCAGTTTCCGCGCCTCCTGCAAATTTTCCTAATCTATACGCTTCTAATTTATATCCTTTGTGATTACCCGTTATGTACTTTCGTTTGGCAGGAAACTGTTAAACTGTATTATGCTTGTAGGCTGTAGTGGGGTAGCCAATATGGGGTACAACCCCAACTAGGGTTTCATATTTGTACCCAAACTTCTGCTAGTTCATTCATTCTTGCCTAGTTACTTTGATATGGTATCAGAGCAGGAGGTCCCTAGGACCTACCGACCTTTTTTTTTAAGGGCCCACCACCGCTCGCATGCGGTTACCACGCTACCCCGTGCCCTAGCCTCGTAGCGCCCTCGTGCGCCCTCGTTAGCGCCCTCGCGCGCCCCTCGTTAGCGCCCTCGCGCGCCCCTCGTTAGCGCCCTCGCGCACCCTCGTTAGCGCCCTCGCGCGCCCCTCGTTAGCGCCCTCGCGCGCCCCTTGCTAGCGCCCTCGCGCGCCCCTTGCTAGCGCCCTCGCGCGCCCCTCACAGAGTCGCCCGCCCGCTCGCTGCTCGCTTCGCGGCCCGCCCGCTTCGCAGCCCGCTCGCCCCGCTGCCCGCTTCGCGGCCCGCCCGCCCGCTCGCTGCCCGCTTCGCGGCCCGCCCGCTTCGCTGCCCGCTCGCAGCGCCGCCCGCCCGCCCGCTACCTGCTTCGCAGCGTCGCCCGCCCGCCCGCTGCCCGCTTCGCAGCGTCGCCCGCTCGCTCGCTGCCCGCTCGCAGCGTCGCCCGCCCGCCCGCTGCCCGCTCGCAACGTCGCCCTCCCGCCTCGCTGCCCGCTTGCAGCG